TGAGAAATCAGAGCTTACTTTTACTGGCTCTCCTTTGTAAGTAACTTTTTGTTTTTCCTGTGCTGCTTTCAGGATTCTGTCTTTGTCTTTGGTTTTGGTGAGTTTGATGATGATATGCCTTGGTGATTTTCTTTTGGAGTCTATCCTGTTTGGGGTTCGTTGGACATCCTTAATGGATATATTCTCATCTTTCATCATATCAGGGAAGTTCTCCTTCAACAGATCTTGGACAATATTGCCAGTGCTATTATTTTTCTCTTCCTGTTCTGGAATTCCAGTGACACGTAGGTTATTCCTTTTGGTGGTATCCCACAGGAATATTAGGCTTTCTTCATTTTGTTTTGATTTTTTTTCTGATTGATCCCTTTCCAAAGAAGTATTCAGGTATTTGTCTTCAGTCTCATTAATTATGTCTTCCATTGAATCAATTCTTCTCCTTTGCCCTTCCAATGTGTTATCTATTTCTGACAATTTAGTATTAATCTTCTGGATTTCTATGTGTAGATTTAGGATCCTTTCTAATTTTTCATTTATTTTGTCATTTTGTTCTTGTATTTTCTTCCAAAATTCTTCTAGGTTTTTTTCTGTGTTTTCTTTGGTCTGTCTCTCAATCCTTTGAAGATACCTAAAGATAATTCTTTTGAATTCCTTATCAGAGAGTTCCAGTGCTGCTTCTTCCTCACGGATGTGTTCTGTGTCTGTATCCTGCTTCCTTGTTTCTACCACTTCATCTTGCTTCTTTGGACTGTGATCATCTGTTGTCTCCAAGACATTTTGTTGTTGTTGTATTTAGATCTCTGTTAACTGTGAAGAGCAGCCAAGGGTGATTCAGGCTCTTCTTGGTGGTTTTTTATCATCAGCCTCTTGATGGAGAAGGAGGTGGTAGCTCTCGCTCAGTAAGTGAAGTTGCAGGAGGTGTGGGTGTAGTTGTGTCTTATGGGGACTGTTGCTGCCTCCCACTCAATTAGACAAAAATTGTAATTGAATAACCATCAAAAAACTAAAAGCACATGGACAAAAGTACACCATGTAATCACACAGGAACAGTAACTAAAAAAGAAAAAGGGGAAAAAGAAGAAGGAAAAAAACAAGACAACTTGCAATATCTGGGGATAGGGCAATAAGAGAAAAAGGGTAGAGTAGGAGAATAATGAAGAAAAAGTGCCAAAAGAAATACAAAGAACGGGGTTAACCACAAGAAACAAAAGAAAAAAGAAAAAAAAAAAAATTTGCAACCAGGAACAGGGAAAGAGAAAGAGCTGAAAACTAGGTCCTGGGAGGGGAAGAATAAAGAATAATAGTAAAAAGGACAAAAGTATTAATAATAGTAGTAGTGTTGAAACATAGAAAAATAAGCAAACTGAAAACCAGAAAAAAGAGAAGAAAAAGAAAAAGAAAAAATTTGGGGAGGGTAGGGCAGTGCACCCAGGCTCCACCTGAGCACACAGACTGGGATAGAGTTCTTGCAGGCTCAGAAGGTGGGTGGGAGTGGCGGATGGCTGCATCTCCGTTCTCCAAGGGGTTTGGGGTATAAGAGTTACGAGGGGAATGTCACACCTTTTCAGTTGTCCAGGTCTGGAATGTCCTTGGGGTTACTGGCAAGCACAACCTGTTCTTAAGCCCCTGGATTCTGGGAGAGTGCTGTCTCTTTAAATATCCCAAATGGTCAAGTGCTTGTAAACATTCAAAATTGCGGTGTCCTCTGAACAGGCAAAAGTCCACAGCTCAGCCTGCCTTTCTCTTCACTGCTGCTTCCCCTTTTATTCCCCAGCCACCAGAGCAGTCTTTCGTGCTGTCCCTGGCTAGCAGGGCTGATTTTTAGTTTAATTGTTAGGTCCTACCACTGCTCGGCAGTCTCCAACCTGTCTGTGCTGTGCCATCAGACTCGCTCAGGATCGCTGCCAGACCGCAGCTAAGTATGTCTCCTTTTTTGGTATTTTCATGCAAATTCTACTGCTAGTTGTGGTTTGATCCACTTCTATATCCCTCCCTTCAAGGCTCAGGGGTCCAGGATTATCTTCTGTGTCTGTGTTAATTGGTTCCCCTTTTCTTTATTGAAGAGGGTCTGTGCAGTCTTTCTCCCTATTCCACCATCTTACTGGAAGCCCCGAGGTGCATATTTTTTATTACAGAATGGGAATTGAGTCATTCTCAAATTATTTACTCTTCAATCTCAGAATTAAACAGAAAAACTTCAAGTATCACACACTATTGATAACTTTAACTGGACAAACTAGTTCAGTGTTCTATGCCAGGTAAGAAGCACTCAGCATAGATTTGTGATTGTCTTTTTATATCAGTTAAGATTTTTTGGTTGGAAATCAAAAAAGGCAGAAGACATTTATTGGGAGAATCTTGGGGTAGCTCATAGTGGAAGGGTGAGCTGCAGGACTGAGAACTTTAAGGATTAGACCTGGGGACCTGATGTTCTCTTGATTCTCTTAACTTTGTCTTTCTTTGCATATTGATTTCATTTTCATGGGCTGCCACCTATAGTGGGTTTCATGGCCTCCAGAAGGAGAGGACCTTCCCCTCACCACCTCCACTTAGAAAAATCCCAAAAAGGAGTTTGGTTGGCTTAGCTTGGGTCACTTTCATCATTAATTACCATGGGCAGGGTCACAAACTCACTACCATTGAGTCAATTCAACTCATAGCAACCCCTCCTTGGGTTTCCCAGGCAGTATCACTACGGAAGTAGATTGCCCAGTCTTCCTTCCAAGGAGTGGCTGGTGGGTTTGAACCACCAGTCTTCTGGTTAGCAGTCAGATGCCTTAGGCACTATACCACCCACCACAGGGGTCTCAGATTAGACAGCTCTAGAGTTGGGGTAAGGACCTCTGGTGGTGTAGTGCCTAAAGCATTTGACTGCTAACAAGAACATTGATTTATTACCTCAGAAACCCAGTGGGCATTGATAGTGTGAGTTTTTTGGTTTTGGTAGATTTGGGGTATTGTGATCAGCAGTTTTCCCGAAGGGGGGAGAAAAGAAACAAACCCAAACTCACTGCCATCGAGTTGATTCTGACTCATAGCGACCCCCTTTGGGTTTCCCAGGTGGTAAATCTTACAGAAGTAGATTGCCCAGTCTTCCTTCCGTGGAGGGCTGGTGGGTTTGAACTGCCAACCTTTTGGTTACCAGTCAAATACCTTAGGCACTACGCCACCAGAACTCCTTTTCCCAAAGCAAGGGAATGCTATTATTAGGAGAAATATAGGAAGTAGTTTCTGGGTAGTCAGACACAATGGATGTTTACTACCATGTAGTACACATTACTGAGAGAGAGAAGAACTATTTGTACTCAAAGTAATAGACTTCAGCCAGTAGCCTTTCTGAAATTCTCCTCAATACATAGTGCTATATAAACTGTTGTTCATATAAAGCTAATCTATTATCATTGGGCCTCATGGCATATTATGTATAACATGTTAGGAAATACTAGCTTTTATAGCTTGGTTTTATTTTTTTATATTTGTCAAATTATTGCTCATATTGTATTGTTTGAATATTATGTGGCAGCCTACAACCTTCATTATTATCTGTGCTTTCTATTATAGGGTGACTGGAAATGTAAATAAAAATAGGCTGTTTTCCAATGGCTTTTGGTACATGCTGACATACTGTCTGTGATGGCAGCGGAGACTGAGAAGATCCACGCTTTGCTCCAGTCTTGCAGCACTGAGTCTCTTATTTCCAGCCTTGGTCTGGGGATGTTTTGCCTAGTAGCTGACAGACTTCTTCTGTTTCCCATAATTCATCAAAATGACTGGCTTCGTGCCCTCTCAGATAATGCAGTACATTGTGTGATTGGCATGTGGTCATGGGCAGTGGTCATTGGAGTCAAGAAAAAGACTGACTTGGGAGAAATCATTTTAGCTGGAATTTTAGCCTCAGTTATTGATATAGATCACTTTTTTCTAGCTGGATCCCTGTCTTTAAAGGTAAGAAGCATATCTGTGTAATTTTTCTGGTCTTTCTGTGAACTTTTTTAACACCTTTATTAGTGATTTTCACAGATCATTTTAGATCTAATTAGAATTAGCTTTATTATAAAATAAGAGAGTCCATTCATTCAGGTTTATTTATTTATTGTTTTGAGTACTTACTTTTTCTGTAAAGGAGCACACAGACATGTTGCTAATCAAGTTATTTGCCATCACAAAGTACAGGTAGTCCCCAACTTAATGACAGAGTTTCATTATGACAAGTCTGTCATAAGTCTTTTTTTTTTTTACCTTAGTTTTTATTATTGCTTTTCATTATCATTCTTTATAAATCTAATCTTTATTAGTCTTTGGGTGTTGGAAACATTACAGATAAAATTACAGGTATATTTTAATACATATTACTAACGATAAGGTGTTAAAAAACAGATGGTTTTTAAGAACGGTTTGTCACATAACTCAAATGCATTGTATCTAAGTTGAGAACTGCCTGTACTATGGACGCATACAGAAAAAAAGACTCGCAGATTTAACCAGCAGAGTTCACTGATAGCTTTAAGAGGATATATTCAGTTAATTCTTGAAGGAAGGATTAGCCAAATGGTTTAAATTAACAGGAGTCATTCTTAGGGTTATCATACTTCTTTCTGTTCAGTGTTCTTTCTTCAGGATTTACATTTTCCCACTTATTCTTTATGTTTTACAGTTAGCATATAGCTCCTAGATGCTCCATAAAAGGTTGAATAGCTTTAACATGATCCCTCTTGGGGCCAGAGGCATGCATTTCAATGAGCTGGCTAGAACACACTGTCACCGGTACAGATATTGATGAATTTCATTGAGGCATTTTAGCTGTACAGTGACCTAGTTAGCAGCTCAAAGGAACAAAGCTTAAAATAATAGTTCAGATAATACTTTTTAAGGGTCAAAAGACTTGTCTACCTTTTAAGTGTTACGTGTGTTATGTTCTAAAACTATTTCTGAAGATACATAAACTAGAGCAAGGCCTTTGCTTCATTCACCACTGCCAGGAAGAGCACCTGGCTCACCGAGTAGGTGTTCATGAAATATTGGTTGAAAAAATGAGAAATTATCACTTCTTATCTTCTTATGTGCCAAGTACTGTACCAGGTATTTTGATAGAAGTTGTTGTACTTATTCAGAAACTTAAACAGTAAGGAATCAGTAAGTGCTGATTAAAGACAAATTTTAACTTTTGTGCTGCAAGTAGAGCCAGCATTGTTGTTTAAGATTGCAGGCACTAGAGCCCGGGCCCAAGGTAGGTGGGCGGGGGGTCAGGGGCTGCTTTTAGCTTGGGGGCAGCTCTATTTTAAGGCTGGAGCCTGAGGAAGGAGGGCACAGGGCTCGGGGGCTATTTTTTGTTTTGGGGTGGCTCTATTTTAAGGCCAGGGCCTAAGGTAGGCAGGTACGGGGCTTGAGCTGCTTTTTGCTTAGGGGAGGCTCTATTTTAAGTCTGGGGCCTGAGGAGGGCAGGCACAGAAGGATTAAGAACAACTAAGGGAGACAAACTTGTCTGTCAGTTTGTCATCCTTTAGTGGCTTATGTGTTGCTGTGAGGCTGGAGGCTATGCCAGCAATGTTGCAAAATGCCAGCAGGGTTACCCATGGTGAACAGGTGTCAGTGGAGCTTCTGGGCTAAGACAGATACGGAAGAAGGAAGAGGCCATCCACTTCTCAAACAAATGGCCAGTGAAAACCTTATGAATAGCAATGAAATATTGTCCGATATACTACTGGAAAACCTTATAAATAGCCCTGAAAGATTGTCTGATATAGTGCTGGAAGATGAGCCCATTGGGTTGGAAGGCACTCCAGATTTGACTGGGGAAGAGCTGACTCCTCAGAGTAGAGATGACCTTAATGATATGGAGAGGGTAAAGCTACTGGGACCTCCATTGGCTTATGTGCCATGACTCAAAATGAGTAGAAACAGATGGAAACATCCATTAATAATTGGAACTTGGAATGTATGAAGTATGAATCTAGGAAAATTGGAAGTTGTCAAAAATAAAATGGAACACATGAAGATCGATATCCTAGGCATTAGTGAGCTGAAGTGGGGTGGTTTTGGCCATTATGAATCAGACAACCATACGATCTCCTATGCCGGGAATGACAAATTAAAGATGAATGGCATGGCATTCATCATCACGAAGAATGTTTCAAGATCTGTCCTGAAGTACAATGCTATCAGTGATAGGATAATAGCCATACACCTACAAGGAAGACCCGTTAATACGACTGTTATGCAAATTTAGGCACCAACCACCAAAGCCAAAGATGAGGAAATTGAAGATTTTTATCAACTTCTG